CGGGCGGTGCGCCGGCGGGGTATAAGACTTTCCACAGATATCAGGAGCTTTCATCTTACAGACTGTAAGGAAGCGTGCCAGTAGAGCTGGAGACCTCTAGCATTGCTACCTGCATCCGATATTATTCCAGATACACAGTAATTTTTTTCTATGTTTTTATCTAGCACCTTCTCATGTAAATGCCTACAGTGCGTGTCTTCCCTTTGGGTGGCATGCTCTGGGAGACACGATCTCCTGTAACATCCTCATTCATAAGCTGATGAAGTGTGGACTGGATAAGAGAACAGTGAAGTTGATTGAAAACTGATGACTGAACTGGGGTCTCAGCGTGTTGTGATCAGTTGCAGGAAGTCCAGCTGGAGGCCAGTGACTAGTGGTGTCCCCTAAGGTCCATACTGGGGCCAGTACTGATTAACCTCTTCAGTAGTGACCTGGATGATGGGACAGAGTACACCCTCAGCAGGTTTGCTGATGACACAAAACTGGCAGGAGTGGCTAATACATCAGATGGGTGTGCTGCCATTCAGAGGGACATCAACTGGCTGGAGAAATGGGCCAACAGGAATCTCATGAAGTTCATCAAAGGGATACACAAAGTCCTGCACCTGAGGAGGAATAACTGCATGCACCAATACAGGCTGGAGGCAGACCAGCTGGAAAGCAGCTTGGCAGAAGAGGACCTGGGGGTCCTGGTGGACAACCAGTTGACCACTGAGCCAGCAACATGTCCTCATGGCAAAAAAGGCCAACAGCATCCTGTGCTGTATTAGGAGGAGCGTTGCCAGCAGGTCAAGAGTCAAGAGTGCTCCTTCCCTTCTGCTCTGCAGTGGTGAGGCCACATCTGGAGCACTATGTCCAGTGCTGTGGTCCCCAGCACAAGAGAAATATGGACATACTGGAGTGTGTCCAGTGAAGGGTCATGAAGATGATTAAGGGCTTAGAGCATCTGACATACGAGGAGAGGCTGAGAGAACTGGGATTGTTTATCCTGGAGAAGAGAAAGCTCAGGAGGCCTTACCAATGTGTATAAATGCCTGATGGGAGGCAGTGAGGACAACAAAGCCAGACTCTTCTCCGTGGCACCCAGAGACTGGATGAGAGGCAATGGGCACAAGTTGATAATTGGGAAATTCTATTTAAGCATAAGAAAAAGCCTTTCTTACCATGACGGTGATCAAACACTGGAACAGGTTGCCCAGAGAGATTGTGAAGTCTCCATCCTTGGAGATACTCAAAACGCCACTGGACACGGTCCCGAGCTACCTCCTCTGATTGATCCTGCTTTGAGGTCCCTTCCAACCTCAACTATTCTATGGTTCTGTATAAAATATCCCTGTGTGAAGATCCAAACATGAAGGAAAGGTGACCTCTGGTGTTGGCATTGATGAGGTAATTGAAATTCAGAAGTGTTCAGCTTGGAAAGTGAATATACCTCTAGGCTATCAGAAACAGAACTGATTGCCAGTTGTTTCTGAAGTGAAACAGTAAAGCAAGCAAAAGAAAAAAAAAGTCAAATTTGATATGAGTATATTCGGTGAATATAGTTTATTGATAGTTCTGAGCAAAGGTTGAATATCTTGACTACATATATTAATTAAAGAATTCAGTTGCTTGCTTATTTATTTTACCTTCTTTGGAGACTAATCAAAGGTTAAATAAATTAAAGCCTTTGCCTTCTAGAAGTTTTGGAAAAATGAATGTTGCTGGAAGTAGGAGCTGGCCTACATCAGTTCAAATTATGGTATCCTTAGGTGTAATTTACAGTGAAAAGTAACAAAGGTTGCTTCACTAGGTCTAAGAATATAATTTGCAGGTGCAAAATTACTAATTGATGAAATATCAAAGTCTGTTCTCAAAGAGTGAAAATCTCATTTTATTTGGGGAAATGAAAGGATTGCAGTTTCAAAAGCTGCTTAATATAGATGTTGTGGTTACTTTTAAATGTGAGGTTACTTTTAAGATGTGTTTGGATTATGCTCTGAACACAAGCTATGTAAACCAAACCATTCAGCCACCCACAGAACATGTCAGCCATTCACCTTACTTCTGCATACTTTGTTACCTGACTAGTAGTAGCAACAGTTGACAGTTTGGCTATGTCTAGTGATAAATTGGTACAAGTGAGGAGTAGAGAAGTGTTTCTTCTAGGCTAATGAACACAACTGAAGGGGCTCTGAAAGCTGTAGGTTTGCCTATCTGCATCGTGTACCTCATGCTGGGGAAACCAACGACGCAGGCGTGCCATGTCCTGGCCGTACTGGTTCTCCTGAAGAAGCTGCTGCTGCTGCTCCCTTAGTTGTAGCTTGATTGCTTTAAGAATGTGTGAGCATTGGATGAGGTTGAGCAATTCCTGGCGCAGATGCCAGTTCTCTGCTCTTACTTGCTTGGTATGCTGAATCAGAGTTTGTACTGCTGCTTCTTCAGCTTTCTTGGTCAGAACCTGGATCTTCTGATGAGCCTCTACCTCACAAGCAGCCTTGGCCTGCAGAAATCTGCTCTTGATTTTGTGCATTTGTTCTGAATGCTGGATCTTTGTGACCAACAACTCCTTCTCCAGGTCCTTAATCTTGTTCATCTGTTCCAGCTGCAGGTCTTTGAAAGGCTGCAATTCTTCAACCTCCTTGTTCATAAGAGAATACTTTGTCTCCATATCCATGAGGTAGTTCCTTACCTCCTTCTCTTTTTCTGTATAGTGTGAGATTAGCTTCTCTTTCTGCTTCCAGATTTGAGAAATATCAGTGTGATTCTGGTCATTTAATGTTATTATCAAATTCTGGCACTTCTGGCTGTATTTTGTTATGTAGGAGAGGTAAGCATTGCTCTCTTCCTGATTCTGTTGAGCTTCCTTTTCTAGGATATCATTCTCCTGGAGGAAATGTTCCACTCTTCCCATATATGTATTCATATGTTCAGTAAGGGTTTTGTATTCCTTCTGCAAATACTGCTTCCTCTCTCTGACAAGTGTTTCTGCGGGGCTTCTTCCTTTGGATATTTCTCCATTCTTGGTTCTTAGTCCTTCCTTATTTTTTCCTGCGCCTATGGTGTCTTGTTTCAGCTTCTTTTTCTTGGATGGCATACTTCACACTGATGTATCAAATTCTGGCAAAATGTAACAGAATGAAAAATTAGGAATTCTAGGGGAGTATTCTGGTTACATGTATGAAGGTTACTTTTTTTTTTCCAGTCACGTCCTCTTGTTTTCAACTGCTTATAATTGGCTGCTAAAATGTCTGGCCTAAAATACTTCATGTCTCGCCTGTGTCTTGACTTGAAGCACACATATGCACGTATGTGTATGTGTATTTTTATAGTCACAGTTAACTGATAAGTAGTTTTGCTAATCTAAAAATATGTATGTTGTAAGATTTTTGTTGTTGCTGTTGTTTAATGTTGTACTCTTTCTGTAGTTTGGCGTATGGAGTCAAATTTCCCTGGGGAATTATTAGAGCTTTAAGTTGTGTACTGTCTCTCTGTAGGCAGTAGGTCTTGTGACTAGAACTTCAGCCAGACAATTGGTACTGAAGGCTGGATAGAGGCATGACTAAAATCCATAAATTTATGAAGTAAATTATAAAATATGGCTGCAAAATCATAGGGCTAGAAGCTATCTGAATTACTCTGTAGAGATTTATGTTATGGGAGAAGTTCCATTCCTCCATCAAAGTTAGTTAGACTCCTGTGTTTATATTTGGAGAGGCAGAATTCACAGCCACACCATTTTTCTGGAATGAGAAACTTAAGTCAGTATTGTCTTATGAAATGGGAGCAGAGAAGGAAATGTTGCTTCCAGTTTAAACCTAAGGCTTCAATGATTGATCAGGGTATTTAGTTACTTTGAAGGGTGACTATGTTCTTGTCCTTCCTTTGCCTGAGGTAACATGAACTGACATCTTCTTGGACATCATCTTAACTATTAGGCTATAATATAATTTGAGATACAACTCTTAGGTATTTAAATATTCATGCATGCAGAGAGAGTGAAAGAATGACTATAAAGACTAATGTTTCAATCCAAATACACTCACTTGAGTGAGGGGAGAGTTGTGTTCCAGTGCTCATTATTCTTAGATGTACACCCAGGTTGCCATGGCCAGAAAACAACATACCAGATTAGAGCCTAGAGTGAAGAAACACGTGTAGTGCAAATAATGGCAAGAATTATCGTGTTGTTAGAAAAAATGGCCACAGTAAGATGCACCTTTAGAGCATACAGTTTTTTTTCCAGAAGCGCCAAACATTTCGGAACAATTAATGCTCAAGCACAGTAGCAAGCAGGAAGCTGCACATGTCTGGAATGTATGTTTTTTTTCTTTAGTTTCAGAATGATGTTTCTGTTGATCTTGATGTCTGTATGCCAAAGGTTCACACGGTTAAGTATAACTAAGCACATCCTGAATCCGGGAAATAAGTTAGAAAACATGTTTTGTAATGTTTGTGAGCCACCAGGGAAAGATGATGGAATAATGGACAATGCCTTAAATAGCGCTTTTTAAAAGCCCTCTTCTGTACATATCAAATGATTAAAAGATAATTCATCACAGGTAACAATGTCTGGTAATTAGACATAATTTTTGTGGTGCGAATGAGGCAGGGAATTGCTGATATAACAGTAAGTGGTAATGTAATTAAATTTTAAGATATATTCAAATAGTGTAAACACTATGCCTACAATCCTAAATTAAGATGTTGCTAATTTTTTTGGAAGCAGACGTTTTAGCAGAGGTCTCATTTTTTTACATGCAACATTATGTACTGTAAGAAGAAAAGAGCAAGAGCGATAACATTTAGCACTAGTCACTAAAGTAGTTGAAGCCTTAGGCCACAGTCAAGGCCACCTGGAGCCTGTTTTTACAGAACAAGGAATATTGTCCCCATTGCTGATAAGCCTCACAAGAGGTAACCTAAAGAAACTCCTCCCAGCAACAGGGAGCGCCAATGGACCACTAGAAAATGAATAAGAGAAGCCACGAGATTGGTTAATAGGGATCAGACTATGGTGGGGGGAGTTTGCTTAAGGGGATGAAGAGAACCAAGAAGCTGTGGGCAGGATCCCTCCTTGGAGGCACCCAGCTTAAGCTGTACCTTTATAATGTGTAATAAACCTTTTTTTTTTTTGTTTAGAAAAATATTCGGTGTTTAATTGGGAAAGTAAGCGGAGGCCTAGGGTGGAGCCAAAACAGTTGGAGATGGCAACTGCATAATACCTGCTGTAAAAGGTGGCAACTGTGTAATTCTTGCAACAGTATTAAAGCTGGTGAGATAGCTGCAATATAAGAGGCATAGTTAGGTCCACAACAAATACTGAAGGAAGAGAAATGCATCAGTATTAATGACTTGCAGATTTAATTGTGAAAATAAGAGTGAATAGTACTTTGTGTGCTGAATTTTAAAACTACTTCTTCAAAGGAGGAACACGGCAATCAAGGATGTAATCACAGCTGGAGAGAAGTCTGGTAAGTCTAAGGTAGTTTTTAATGAACATTTGTAACATTAATGTAACATTTGTAACTAAAACTTGCTGTATCCTACTAAAACTGATGGCTCTCTTTTCAGAAAATGTCCAAAATTCAAGTAGATAGGTGACCAAAGCAGAATTAAGTATACAAAAGCTCTCATCGCAGTAATAACAGAACAGGTTCCAAGCTGGGAATACGGCAGCTGCATCAGAAATACAGTGCATATAGGGAGACATAAGAATCTGAGGGAGAAATCAGTGTAACTGTGTTTTGGGAAATGCACTTGAAGACTAGAAGGGTGTCATGATGGAAGTAGTAGAAATGAGCTGATGCAAGGCATGGTAGGGTTTGGGGGGCGGGGGGAAAGACAATTGAAGAACTGTGTGAACGTTAGGGGAATGGCTAAATTTGCATGGAAAAAACAGGCTTTGCTAAAGTTGTTATCATACAAAATGTATTTTTTCAGAAAGCCACTGACCTTTCCTGCTCTTGTGGTCTTTTCAAGACAGCTTCTTCTGGCTTGCTCCTCCTGGCTTACAGGACAGCATTTGAAGATAGCTGAACGGTGATTTCTGAACAGTGGCGTTGTTTACAAGCTTTATGTGTCCATGGTGATGAAACACTGCAACCACAAGCAAAGCCCTGCAGCAAGATTCTTAGAACAATTTCAGTTCCCAGCTTGGTTGTGAGGCCAGACTGTGAGATGCTTTGTTACCTACCAAGTGATGAGCTGTCAGTTAAATAGAAAACTAAGTGCAGTTTGGCTTATAAGAAAAAGTTTTATAGAGGCCACTATATTTTGTGGGAAACAGCCTCAGCTAGCTATTAGGATTTGCTGAAGGAGAACATATGACTTAAGCCCTCGTCCTCCTTGGGAATTAGGTACCAATATCTATTAAAGCATTTCTAGTCCATATATTTGGAGTTTCTTTCCATGAGGTTGGCAAGCAGTCCCACATCCCACAAAATTAGGAAGGGGTGTATGTATGTTGGGGGGAGGAGGGGGAAGCCACACAGTGGGGTTCCATCTAGCACCAAAGCCACATGGGGGTCGGGGGTGGGGGATGCGCACCAAAGTCATGCTGCAAGAAGGGCCTTGGGTGCCTCACAGTCACACTGCTGGGGCAGGTTCTCAGTTTGCATTTAAGGAGTTACCTGTTCATGTGTTTGGCTGGTAGTTTCCGTTACAAGGAAACAGTCCATTAATTCACCTTTTAATGTAGTTTAATGCACTTAAGTTATTTTCAGAACAGATGAGATTAGCTGCAAGTCTGCACACTAACCAGTGTCTTGTTGCATTTCTCATGTTTTTTTATGTTCTGATACATGTGGACAAGAATAAACACATTAAAAAAAAAACCCTGATAGACTGAGATTGTATGCAAAAGGGAAAATTATTCACGGGCTGGAGAAAATGCTTTAAAATGAGGGAAAAGCAACTCAATCTCATTTCACAAAAAGACTGGGACATACAAACTCAATACGTAAAAATCTGCACTAAGAGAAAAGACTAAAGAATAAAGGGTATTCTAATTTTGCAGGAAACCACCTACAAATCAACAAAATCTCAAGGTGTAAAATTCAAATGAGAAAAAAAAATCATTTTCACACATTTTTACATGAAATGATTAACCACTGCAATAAACAGCCAAAGGAAGTAATGGATTCTCCATTATTCCTGTACTCAAGTTCACATTTCTTTCTAGAAAAATGTACTTCAGTCACAAATCACCAGATTTGATGAACAGATAAGCTAGTGAAATTCCATGCTTGTGCCACACAGAAGCAAAGTTTGACAATAGAACAGTCTCTTCTACCCTTATATACTCAAGGAAATAAAATTTCTCATGTATGATGATCAGCTTGTGAGTTTTATAAATGAGCTTATGGCATTTAGACATATCTTTCTTGTTCCAATGAATGGCAGATATATTAATGTGCTCTATACTGCTGAAAATAAAGCATGCAGAATAATGAGCATGGATATAGCTCCATCCATTTGGCACAATAAATGCGCTAATAAGGTCTTAGCGCTAGCCTTGAGGAACATGAAAAATACTGCTCCCAAATATTGAAAGCTGAAAGAGTGGTCAAATGAAAGAGACAGCAGCAATGGGCAGTTTCAGATCTGTCCACTGCCTAAATGTTACATCAAGAAACATATTCTCAATAACGTAACACTTTTATTAAAAAGTTTCTAAGCCAGGAAAAAGGACAGAAATATGATCTAAATATGATCTGAGTAGGAAAAAGTCACTCTAAGCATCTAGCTTCAGTGTTATACTTGTCGGGAGACAGTAATTTCCACCACGATCTGCAGATACCAGCAAAGCTATGTTAACATTGCTATGAGAAATTAAATTCTCCTGAAATTGTTCTAAGCTGGAACTGACAAGGAGGAGCCTTATTTCCACAAGGCTTTAACCTTTCTTGTTATGGAAACAGTTTGACCCTAGGTTCCCAAGGAGCAGAGACTCATGCAAGTATAACAGCAAAATTAATTATTTAATTAAATGACAGTACGACAGAGTAACAGCTCAAGCTGCGTGCCTCCGGGGAGAGACCCAGAACAAAAGAATTCTTAAGTAATTATACTTTTTACAGTCTTATTTCCCTGCCTGCCAGTGAAACTCTTCCAATCTTCTTTACTGAGTCAGTGGTCTCTTTCCCCTTGATTTCTACATCCTGGGCTGGTTGCTAGACGGTTGCAATGTTCCTGCCCCACGGTACCTTATCTTATCTGAAGGTCAGCCATTACCTCTGTTCATTCTGGTCACTCTGTTCTGTATCCTCGAGGGCTGGTTCTAGCCGATTTTGCAGTTGCGCCATCAGCAATGTTCTTTGGGTTACAGTTCAGTCCTGCGGCCTGCAGGCTTCACCTGCTTTAGGCACTTCTGCTAAGCAGGAGTCAGACTTATGCTAAGCTGAAGCTGCTGGCTACAATTCCCTTCTCTAGCATCCCTCATATGGTGCTTACGTTCCTATACATATGTTCTTCCCAGGAGTAATCTTACTTTATTAAACAAATGCCTTTCTGAGCCAATACCAAACAACATGGTGGATTTTCTTCTAACACTAATGTAGCATCATAGGAGGCAGCTGAGAGCAGTTAATAAGCCAGTGTTCTAGACTTGCAAAGGCAGGAAGAAGTGGACTAGTTATTGAGCTTCCCTCGAGAGTGCAGAAGGTGGAAAAGCATCCTAGTGGGAGGTTGTGTGCTCTCTAACTATTCTGGAGGCTTTACCTTGTGATGCGTTTCTCTGGGTAGGCTGAAACACTCGTCACCCATAGCAGGTAGGGGCCAGGACCACCTTGTGCTGAGGGCTCAGCAGTACCAGAGAGGCGAGGGTGTCCCAGGGGTAGCTGTAGGTGCCTGGATTTCTCCTGCCCACCTCAAGGCATGGGTGTGGGGGAAAAAGGGTGGGGGGGTTTCAGGGGCCTGGCAGTACTCTGCACCGTGAGTGCACAGAGTAAGATCTGCCTGGAATGCATATTTGACTTTCCCCGTCTTTTTTTTTTTTTAACCTTGGCTTTAGGGCTGAGGTTTCTCCCCAAAGTAGGCTTGTATGTGTGCCTTCACTCATGTAGAGGCAGATGGCCTGGAGGCGTGGGGAGGCAGGCTGGCCCACGAGCAGGAGTTTTGTGTGGTGTCCTAGGCAGGATAGCTCCTTTGTACCTCGTGTGCCCAAGGGTGTCGGTAAGTGACAAGATGATAACAAGTGGCTGTCAGTGACAGAGCTGTTTTTTTGCCATTCCCCATACTAAAGAAAAATCAATTTCCAGATTGGCTTTCACATGTAGAGACCTTTCCTTAGGTCTAGTTGGGGTTTCACAATGCACCTGCAATAACACGTGGTTGTTGTCAGAGAAGTGTTAGCCAAGTTGCCTGCAGAGAATATAGAAAAGGTGTTACCTTAATGCTGTGCTGATCAGAACTACGGAAGAGGAGGTGCAAGAGTGAGGTATCAGAGCCTTAAAACGGACTGGACGGGACAGGATTTACGGTCAGTTTGTGTACAGTGCACAAGTAGTGCAACCCCAGGATCACTGTACAGGTACTGTAATTGGGGAAACAACACAAAAAAAAAAAAAAAAAGTTAAACCTTTGTGTGAAATAAAGGGTCCTTCCCATCAATCCTGAGTAAGAGGGTTGCATTTCTTATAGCAGCATATCCATAGCTATTCTGGTAGCAGCAGACCACCACAATGGGAGGTTCTGGAAAGGAGTCAGGAGCAGAGCTGGAACAATGCATGAGGCTCTTTTCCCTAGCCAGACAGAAGCGGCTGTAAGCACGCTTGCTATAAAACGATGAGGACGAGGCCCACCC